CATTCTCATTCATAGGGCAGGTAGTAGTATACAGTATACTAATAAATACACATTGTTCACCGAAGGATGTGATGCTAGTAGTTAACCACAAAGGTTTTATACAAATTCTTTCATTCCTTATTACATGTATAAAAAAAAACTGTACTGAAGCAAGCATGGTTTGACATGTATTGCGTGGAATTTGTACAAGTTTATGTTGGCATTAAGTCAGGCTCTCTCTACGCAGCTCGTGTCAAACAAACCTCTCAACTACTGAAGCATACAGTTGCAGCTGAAATTTTCTTGAACGTTGCTCAAACTATTGCTCAAGCATGGTTTCGCTTGTGTTTCATTGACAGTTGTAGTATAAACTACCCGAAAGAGTTTTAAAAAGACAGGCTCTTCAGACGGACTAACAAACGTAGACAGTCTCATCAGACGGACTAACAAATGCATAGCCCTATGAAGCACTTGCTTTTGTTAATTTTGTTCCTGCTGCAAGCACTGATTAGAGGGAAGATTACTGCAGTGCAGTTCATTGGTGGCTGAACTGAAAAACAACAAAACTTCAATTGGATTGTTGGCCTCCACCTCAAAAATGGTGAAAGAACCCAACAAAATGCGGCTTAATGCAGCAGGTGCACACGGTATTCCTTAGGCCGACACAAAACTTAAAATTGACTTGTCAAACACAAAACTTACTTGTTGGGCTCCTCCTCACAGAGATGGGCCTGAAACATATAATTTTAGATGGGATAAATAATTTTCTTTAGATGGGCTGACACAAAACTTTGTATTGAATTGTTGGGCTCCTCCTCACAGAGAGGAAGAACCCTCCAAAAATAGGCGTATGCTGCTTGGTGCAGCGGGCACACGGTATTCTTTAGTAAAAGGCGAAAGAATAGTTCGCTCTGTGCCCACTGCGCAGCTGGGTGCTCTTCCTTCAGTGCTGTGAGCCCTTGTAAGTAGCAGCGCTCCCTGCTCCCCTGGCTTCAGCAAGCGGTTTGGCACTAAACGGGAAATCGCAAGCCGTACCGTGCGCACTGCGCCCGCGGTCTACGCGAACGGGCCAGTGGCCGACTGCAAAAAGGCCTACGCTGTGGATTTGCATTTCCTGCAGGCAGAGCCAGACGCAGTGATGAATCATGATGCCCACTGGCCCAGAGGACTGAGCAGCCGCTTGCTGTCCGGCCCAAACAAATGCTGTGAAGTGAAGCGCAGGGGCTTGCCGGGCTCGCCCGCCTCCCCAATTTCAATCTGTGGTGACTGTTCCGAGTTCCGACGTGTATGTATATATATATCGGGCTTCCGTGAAGAAATCCAGACATTGGATGGTGCCATTGGATTTGGTCCTCGTTTCCACGCTTTCCCTCAACCTCCGTTGATTCCGAGCAGATCAAGGATTAATTTAAACGAGGTCTAGCACGTCCAATGCCATGGATTGAAGAACTTCTTTCAGACAAGCACCTCCGTTATAAAGATATAGAAAACGATTTTTACTTAAACGACTCTTCAAATAATAATTTAGAGAGAATTTTAAAAAGACTCGCAAATGCAGTGTATCCCGGAAGCACGTGTGGTTATCGCCGGTCGTTGAGCCCCGATAAATCCTGAAGTCGATACATCGTGCTGTCCACACTTTCAGTTGAGTACGACCGCGACCGATCCTGGGCTGGAGGCCTGCAGCCCAACAGCAACTGCCCCGCGATACCCTCACACGGTCACAGCAACTGCCCGGCGATACCCAACAGCAACTGCTCGTCGGCCAATAATCATTTCGGCAAATTTTATTTTGAGGTATATACGTATGTCGTCATCAACTCTTTTTTTTCTATGGAATCATCAACTCATCGTACGTAGACTGAATGGTTGCTTGTCTTTGTGCTTTCGTAATAGCTTCTCAGATTCGTTTTTGACAAATTAAGCGAACAGCTAGTAGCTCTATTCGATTAAAGGTATTGCCACATTGGTAGTTGCATATAGCTGTTGTACAAGCAACTAAACTCGTCGTCCAATCATCAACCAGAGCATCTCCACGAGTCTTTCTAAAATTGAATCTTTAAATCATCATTTAGAGTATCATTTGAGTAAAGATCGTTTTTATATTTTTATACCCTCCAACAATTTTTTTATATCTCATACAGAGTCATCCTCGCTCTCCATCTTTGGTTAGCGAGAAATCCGGAATATAGTATGTCTATATTTGGAGATCCAGTTAGAGAGACTATTGCAATATATTTTCCCCCCAAATTCTCTATTTCTATAAATTAGAAGAGATATATAGAGTTTTTGGAGTTGCTCTTAGGTCATTAGGTTACACCATGTCGTCATCATGTCCCATTGATCATCAGTTGAATGGATGAACTGTGCAAGGGCCGAATGAATAAACCTTCTTTGTTTTTTTTCTCTCTCTAGTGCAAAGGGGACAAAACTCACCCTTTCAACAAAAGCTTTAAACCATACGTATCTATCAAAGTCGAATATATATGCATTGATTCATCTTATATAATGATGAACGCCATTTGATCTTTAAAGACGCATGTACAAGAACTGATGATAAAATAATGCATCGTTGCAGTAACATTGCAAGTACAGAGCTAGCTGAATGAACCTTTGATTAATCTTCAGTCAGAGAAGCAGCAGCTCGCGATCGTCAGAGGATGACGCACCCGTTGCCCGCGGCCTGCTCCTCGTAGCACACCACGGCACCGGGGAAAGGATGCGCGTGCGCCGGGACCAGAACCGGTGGTGGACGGCAGGCGCTGCAGCCGGCGCAGCACGGCGGCGGCGGCGGCTTCTTGGCCTCCTGGTCGGCGGCGGGTTTCTTGGCGGCCTCGTCGGGCTTCTTGGGCGGGCTGTTGTCGGGCTGCTTCTCCGGGCCGACGCTGAGGACGCGCGCCTCGAACCTGGCCTTGCGCAGCGCCTTGGCCACGCGAGCCACGTCCACCTCCCCCACCACAGTCAGCGTCCCCTCCCCGTCCACCGCCACCGACTTCACGCCTACGACACCGCTCACGCACAACCAACCAATGCAGTACTACTGGTTAGGTTACGCCGGCCGGCCGCCATTGCAGCTAACAATCACAAGCAATGCAAATTCATGTGCATGTAAAGCGTATGTGATAGTTGATACCCTGGAACTTGGCGACGGTGCTCATGGCTTTGGCCTTGCACGCATCGCCGACGACGTCCACCTTCAGCACAATCTTCTGCAATAATCAAAAGACCCAGCAGATGTATTACTCAACAATGTAGAGCTAGCGATGCTTAGTTACAAGAACAAAATGTGGTTTTTTTTTTTTTGCGTTGGATTAGATGCAGTGAAAGAGGGCGCCAACCGAGGAGTACTAGCCGATGACAAACCTTGCAGTCCGGCATGGCGACAGAGGAGGAATCGATCCACCGGGTACGCCCGCCAAGGGAAGAAGAAGAATATGGAGAGGGAGGCGTGTTGTTCTTGTTCAATTAGTTGGGCTCCCTCCCCCATTGGTGGTGAAGACACGGCTGGGTTATATTATATGACGGTTAGGAGATACTCCGATCCTCTCGCTCGTCATATGACAATTAGCCGCCATCACTCATCAGACATGCCGAGAATTGCAAAATGATTTCCCTCCGATCCTCTCGTCTGGTTGCAGCGCGTACAGTAGTCATGATTGCGCAAAGGTCAACGACCAACGCCGCATCAGGAAATGCACTCCGCAGCTTGATTGGATGACTATGACAAATCAAATGAGCCTTCATTATCTATTAATTTCTCGTATTTTACATGTGTGAGAAACCACAGATTAGTAGCATTGTAGTAACGATGATATGGTTTGGACTGGTGATACTTCTTCAGGAAGTCCCACGGTGGCATTTTGATCGTTCTTTAGCAGGCATGGAAGAGGATGGCGTCGGAACGGAGCGGAGAAGTGAAGATTGAAGAGGTGACGGAGGGAGCAAGGAGGGCGAGGCGATGGATTGGTTGCATCCGATTTGTCTATGGCAGACCGGTGATCCTCCTCTACAGCGCTCAGTGCGTGATGGCAAGCGCGTAGACTGCACGCGACCTGGCAACCGGATAGCCGAGGCGCACGCTGACCGACGCCAGGCGGTCAAAACTGCAACATGTGCAAATGGGATAGGCCGCGAGATCTATATCTACTAATAATAATGAATGAATTTCAAGGTAAGCAGTTCTGTTGTTACTTTTTAGATGAAGTGTAATTATGTTCACAATTAGGGAAAAAAAGTAGTACCAAGCTCAAAAGGAGCCTTTATGCGTGCTTGGATTGATGAGAATAGGGTCCATTTGAATCTCGTTCTTATAGTGAGATTCTGTATTTCAGACAGTAAATGTAGAAATCTTGATTAGTTTTTTTTCCTCGATCACGCAAAAGGTTTACACGTCTTTGTATTAAGGTAGAAAAAATTTAATACAACACATCTTAGCCCGCGCGTAGGGGGTTAGAAGAGTTTTATATGGACGCTCAGACTCTCCCTGATATATGAAATCTTGATTAGTGAATGTAAAATCTTGATTTTAGATAAAAGAAAGAGAGATGGATATTGTATATTGAAAATCTCCAAATAGTAGGTTTGGGGTAGATAATTGGCTCATCCTAGAATCTAAGTGTTTGGAACTTATTCTCATTTTTGCACTCCAAACAGAACCTAAGCGACCCACCAGCTCTTCACATTTTTTGTTTGGTTATAAAGAATGAAATACATGGGGTGGAACTTCTCATAGGCCGACATATATAGGCACATGTAGGCCTGTTCGCTCAGCTGCAGCGACGAACTCCATTGTATGCATACTTAAACAACTTACTAAGGTTTGACACTAAACATTAGTGAAATTTTAGGGTGCTTGGAAAAACTAGAACCATTCACTTGTATAGATCAGATGGCTGTAAAATAAGAAAAATCAAGGTAGTGGAACTTAAGTTGCAGACCGGAACTCCAAATCTATGGGTCTGGAACTAAAAATATATGAGCAAATAATTATTTCAAATAACTTTAAAAGGTAGAATAGTACTCTAGCTTATCTGCCCCTTATCTCCGAGTTCTCGTCTCTCCTTTCTTGTCTCCGAGCGCAGGCCGTAGTCCTCACCGGTCGCCGCTGGTAATCTCATCCAGCTTCTCCGCCTCCGCCTCGATCTCCACCTGCAGCACCCTGGACATGTCGGAGGCGGCCTGCTTGGAGTTCCCGGCGTGACGATGACGCCGGCGAGGATGCCGAATCCCTGCATGGCGAAGACGGCGGCGATGAACCTGCCGCGGGTCTTCTTGTTGGCGTACTCGGACATGATGGTGGCACTGAGCGGGTAGTCGCCGCCGATAGACAAGCCGAGCCAGAAGCAGAAGAAGCAGAGCGTGGCCATGACGCCGGTGGGCGTGCTCCCGAACGAGAGCCCGGAGGCGAGGGAGCAGACCACCATGAGCAGCAGCGTTATGCCGTAGACGTTCTTCCGGCCAAGCCTGTCGCCGAGCCAGCCGAAGAAGAGCTACCCCGCGAGTGTCCCGCACAGTGCGACGCCGTTCACCATGGCCGCGACGTTGGGCGGCAGCGTGCCCGGGTCTGGCTTGGTGGGGTCGGCGTAGTAGACGTGGTCGAGCAGCTTGGTGACGAGCGAGATGCAGAAGAGGTCATAGACGTCGGTGAAGAAGCCCATGCCCGCCACTCTGGGAGGCAGCGAGATCTCGCGGCGCGCCTGCGAGCAGCGTTCGTGGAATTAGGTTAGGGATTTAGATTGTGTACCGTGTACATTAGGAAAAGTACTAATCTGCCATTAATTATAATTAATTACTTTTCTTAATTTAAGACCTGCGGTAAATATTTTTGACGGGAGCAACCACCGGTTCCTCCGAGCACTGTAATAACAAAGCTCATAAGTGTTTGGTTTCTTTACCCGACTATGTTGAAGTCTGTGCTGGTAAGAATCTGCTCGCTCACCTAAGCCTATGTTTAGTTCCAACCCAAAATTCTAAAAAGTGCTACAGTAGCCATCACATCGAATATTTGCGATCTATGTATGGAGCATTAAATATAGACAAAAAAAAAATTAATTATACAGTTTGATGGGAAATTACGAGACGAACGTTTTAAGCCTAATTAATTCATGTTTGAACACTAATTACCAAATAAAAACGAAAATACTACAGTAAACTAAAATTCGAATCTTCCTAAAACTAAACACTGCCTAAGAGAGCCCGCGCTCGCCGACGCAGCAAGCGAGGCGAGACAAGCGCGTATCGAGAACCGGTGACCGGGGTTTTTTTTTACCATGGGTGCGTAGATAAAACTCTATTTTTATACTTTAAAAAATCGCGTATCGAGAACCAAGCAGCCCCATAGGCGGCTGAAGATGCGACAAGGCAAAGATTCTCCAGGAAGCCAACCAAGGTGGAATGAGGAGAGGGTTTGTTTGTGGGCAAAATTAGAGGTGGGTAAACAACAAATGTATTAGCTAAGGAGCCATGGTGCAGATCTAGCACGCGAAGATGACATGGTCAATGACCGAAAGAAGTAGAGGTGTGGAAGTACCCAATGGTACATACAAATGAGAGTGTGCTCAAAATTCATAAGATTATTTGTTACCTAAATTATTGATTAATAAATATTATATTTTTTTACGCTAAAAACTTTGGGGGAGATCCCCACAGTATGCTTTTGTATTAAAATTTTTAAAGGAATTTACAAGGTATAAAGATTATAAATTTTGAATCTACATTTACGTTCACGTCTTATAAACTTGACTTCTGAGAGATTACTTACTTGTTATAACAATGCCAATGCATTTTAGACGCTTCAGTACAATATTAACATGTTTTTATACCTAGAGAAAAATAATGTTGATGTTTCGCTTTTCGGCTAATCAGCGCTCAGACGTCCGGCGCACCACGCGCGTCCGGACGTCCGCTCAAGTGCTCAACACCCCGCGTCCGCTTTCGCCCCCGCCCCACGCGCACGCCCCCAACGCGCCCCCGGCCCAGTCCGCTAGCCCTTCGGCAAGCCGCGCGCCCCCAACTCGCCCCGCAGCCCGCCGTGTCCGCCTTTGTACTGCCCCACACGCGCGACGAGCACGCCCCAGCGCCCCCTGACCATAGCACCCCCGTCTGCCGGTCCCCAGCGCCTTTGTCCGCTAGGCCCCCGGCGAGCCACGCACCCCCGTCCGCCGGCTCCCCCCAACATAAAACGCTCGAATAAAATTCTTGCAACAACATGGAACAACTGCTGCAACATAAGACTGAAGTAACTGAAATATTTGGAATATATTATTACAATATTAGTGTGAAGCATATGAAACAACGCTCGAATAAAACACTTGAAACAACATGGAACAACTGCTGCAACATAAGACTGAAGCAACTGAAACATTTGGAACATATTATTGCAATATTTGTGTGAAGCATAGAAAATCCAGATCAGAACGATTGCAACATATGTCTAGAAATAGGTGAAACATTTTGAACAAATGCTTGTAACATGCCTTTGAAACACTTGTAATATATGCAATATGTGCAACATCCCCCGATCTACTTTTGCAACATCCATATGATTCAACTGCAACATACCTCTGAAACGTCTGAAACAATTTAAACATACAATTGCAACAGGGGGAGAAAGAGCCTGGCGCGGGGAGTGCCATGGCCGCGCGGATCTGAGGGTGTTGGGAGCTCCTTGTGGGGGAGGACGCCAGTGTCGGGGGAGGGGCGCCGCCGGGGTGGGAGAGGGAGGACGCCAGGGTGGGGGAAGGAGCCGCCGGGGTGGGAAAGGAGGACACCGGGATCGTGAAGGAGCTGTCAGTGTGGGAGAAGGCACCGCCAGGATAGGGGAGGAGGATGCCGCGGTGGGGAAGGGCACTGCCGCTGGCCAGGGAGGGAGCCGGTGGCGCACACGATGGAGAGGAGCGGGCCGTTGCCGGTCATGGAGGGAGGGAGCGACGCACACGATGGAGAGGAGCAGGCGCACGCGATGGAGTGGAGCAATGTCGGCTGGGAGAAAGAGAATTGCGTCCGTTCTCGACGATGAAAAGTAGTTTTAGATGGGCCACTAGGGGGAGCGAGCCGCGCAGCTCGGTAGGCCCACAGGAGGCGCGTCTAGACGGGACGGTTGCACGTATCAATCATTATCGTTCGCTTTTTAGGCTATGCAGATAGTAAAAACGATTTTTTCTCAGTTGATTTTGGAAATATTTACGGTGCATCCCAGATTTTAGTCCATGTCCCATCAAATGTTTGACACATGCATGGAGTATTAAATATAGACTAAAAATAACTAATTACACAGATTGCGACTAATTTGCGAGACGATTTTTTAAGCCTAATTAGTCCATGATTTGATAATGTGGTGCTACAGTAAATATGTGCTAATGATGGATTAATTAGGCTTAATAGATTCATCTCGTAAATTAGTCTACTTCTGTGTAATTAGTTTTTTAATTAGCTCATATTTAGTCCTCCTATTTAACATCCGAACGTCCGATATGACACGGACTAAACTTTAGTACCTAGATCCAAACACCTCCTTAGATAGATGATGGCGTGCTTGCAAAACGAAATTCAGGCCGATCGGCTGGGGTTGAGCTGGTTGGTCAACCCCCTCACATGGATACTATTCACATCAACCTTTCAGAAGTTCTTCTCTCTCACATAAACGAAAGCAACGATACGAACCAGCCAACCGAACCGAAGGTTTGATTGCTGGCGGGAGATCCTAGCCGTCCGTATCAATCTAAACAGTCCAGGTTCACCAAATTTTAACTCTTTCTATAAACCCACAGCTGTCCGCACCGCTCTCCAAATCCCAAAACCCTAACCCATCCGCCTCCTCTGCCGCCGCCACCATCACCGCCGACAACATGGGAGGAAGAGGAGGAGGCGGCGGCCGCAAGGCCCGCAACTTCGCGACCTTCCGCCTCTTCCCGCGCGCCGGCGCCGCCGACCCCAACGACCGCGTCTTCGTCCGCGTCGACAACAACGACTACACCGTCCCCGGGTTCGCCGACGAGGACTCCTTCGACTCATCCCTGTCCGACCCCTCCGCCGGCGATGGCAACTTCCACTCCGCCTCCGGTCCCCTCCCGGAACACGTCCGCCGCGAGATCCTCGAGCTCGGCCTCCCCGACGATGGTTACAACTACCTCTCCCACCTCCGCGAGCTCCGTCCCGCCGCCGCCGCCGCCTCATCCTTCGTCCCCAGCTCCACCGCTCGCCCCGAGCCCCTCCCGCTCGATGTCAAGGTCACTCTTTTTCCGGCCAAAGCACCCGTCCTTTTAGCAACTGGAACCGGAACGCTTAAGTTTTTTTCCCCCTTTTCTATGCGCAGGCTTATGATGCAAGTAGGGTACGGGTTGGTCCCAGCGACGGTGAACTGGACGAGGGGAAGACGATGTGTAAGGTGGCTGCCAAGACTGCACCAGTGAGGCGAATTGAGAAGGCTGTCGACCCAGATGTCGCCAGGTTGCTCGATGAGAGCGATGTGTCTCATGTTGGGTCTGAGGATGAGGGGCTGGAGGAAGATTTTGTCATCATAGCTAACCGGGCTGAGGGGGAGGAGTTGGAGGAAGAAGACATAGAAGAGATGGAAGAGTGGAATGGTGTTTTGAGTGATGTGGAAGAGGAGTTCGATTTTGAGGAGGATGAGCCAAAGCCAAGAGTGAGACGATTGCTGGATGAACAATTTGATCTGGTGAGCCTACTTAACTTAATTCTCCCTCTGTTTCTTTTTATATAAGGCATAATAGGATCTGGGGATGTCTTTTGAAACATCCTATGACCATCATTTACTCTTACAATACTTCATCAATTGCATCAAACAGTTTCTTTAAAAATATATGTGGAATCTAAACCTGTTTATGTAACTTCAATGTACTAAGTATGCATATAATTTGACTAATTATTGGTCAAAATCTACTAAGTTCCTTTTTTGAATCCTAATAAGTCTTGTGTTTTGACACGAGGAGTAATTTTTAACATTTGGTCTTTTGTACATTTGGAAAAAAATGGTGAGTTTGTGTTACATGTTATTATGTTAAACTTTCAACATGTCTGTTATAAATTGGGAAGATTATTTGGAATGCTGTGAGATTATATGCACATAATATTAAGTAATACAATTTCTTACGCAAAAAAAAATGAAAGTTCTCATAGCTTAATATGTAGGCATAAACATCTCTGTTGTGTCAACTGTACCTCTGCTTTTATAGTTTTTTTGGGTGGGGGTGTAGTTTTTTTTATATGGTAATATCAAGGCAAATTGTTATGTTAACTATAGATATAACTAAAACTATTTCCCCTTGTATTATGTTGGAATCTACCCTGTGTTACTTGATCTTTGTTTATTTATATAAGTATAAAACTAACTGTGGGCATTTAGGGAGAAGATTTTTCAGGGTTGAGTTAGGCACCTATCAGCAGTAATATAGAACCTCTGGACAGGAAAGACAACCAATTCTTAGTAAACATACATGATGCCTCATCAGCCATTAATGTTTATGACATTTCTAATATAGTCCATTACTCCTTTGCTCAAAGTTTTGACTTAGATGTTGTAGATGCTGTGCTAAAAAATACTTCTTGTGAATAAACTTTCAGCTTGCATTGGAAGAATATGGAGACAGTGATGATGATGACAGGGTTGTTAAAGATGGGGAATATGAACTGCCAAGTG